AACTGACAATATTATTTGCCGTAACCCAAAAAAAAAAACTGTTTGATACTTCCTGATTATTTCGATCATAAAAAGACCATAAAATAACACCAAAAAAATCAAATGTATACAAAAGTCGAACACAGGATACTGCTGCCAGTGATAACAAAAAATTATCACTTCAGTATAGTTTATTTTCTCGACGTTAAGTTCTAGAAATAATTGGACAAATTCCAAACATTTTTATAACCACAATAATTATAATTTAGACAAATGAGAGATGAATATCTGATATTATTACGCAACAGCTGATTAAATATATCAAAAGTTCGGTCATTAGATGGTAATAGCGCTAATTGAGAAATTGGCCTTAAAAAGTCAAATGTATACAAAAGTCGAACACAGGATACTTTTTTTATCCTTTAGATAGTGATATTAGCTAAATACTTTTAATATCATAACTATCAATCCCGAAATTATTTATTTAACTATCAATCCCGAAATTATTTATTTAATCTCGAGACTCGTCAATGTAAAGGATGCAGCTGCGCATAAAATGATTTCTTTTAAAAAAATTCTCAAGAAACGTAAAACGGGAAGAAAAGAAGAAAGATTTTCAGTTGTAGACATATGTAATAAGTAACTTAATAATGCGAAACAATTTATGCATTCAGTTTTCAAAAAATTTTAATTTTATAAGCAAAAATACAAAGAAAGCTTGTATAATTGATAAAAAATTTTTAAACCAAAGAACAAGTTAAAATTAGTTGGTCAACTATTAAAATTATGTGGTTGAAACATTATTTTAACCCTATTTATTTTATTACAGCGAATAAAATAAATAGGGTTAAAAAAAAAGATAACTGATCAAAAAGCAAGAAAGACCAATTAAAATTTTAATTAGTATCTTCTTCAGCTTGAAAACAATCAGTGATTAGATATTATCCAACTTATGTCAATCGATTCTTGTTAATTGATGATGCTAAAAAAAGATGGGTTCCGTCAGAAAATTTGTGGCAGCCATGCTGGCAAAATAAATACCAAAACTTAATGGATATACTGTACATATTCATTGTACTATCAGTGAATCTTAACAGATGATATTAATCCATCGCTACAATAGATTGTAGCGAAAGTCTGAAAGCTAATCGTTTCATTTTTCCAACAAAGAGAATCTTAGTAATTTTCAAAATGTTATTAGGGGGGTCTTTTTTTAGGTTGTATCTTTTCAGGTATATTTCGTATTTTAGTATGTTACAATTTATGTCTCGGTATTTTCAAATGTGTTTTACAATTAAAATGAAATGATTCAATACTAATGAAAGACAGTACAACAATTCCAACAGAGCCTGTTAAAATTTTACACAAAGTGGTCATTCATTCCTTTCAATTGTTGTCGACAGTAACACAGTGGGCGAATGTCATCATTATCCACGCAGTGACTTTGGCTACCGTAACTATTCACTCGAACAATCTAAATTAACAAAACTGTAAAAACTGAAAAGTGGTAGATGTAACCTTTACTAAAGTAAAGCAATTTGTGCAATAATTGTTCAAATAAAAAAATGAGAAAAGAAGAATAAAGAATAACTTTTCCAGGTATTTCGAAACTCTCTGCTTTCTTCAACAATTGTGTTTCGTATCTCCCATCACTTGGTGAGGCGCTAACTACTACTTTCAGCAACGGTTGTTCCTTGATATATTCTGCCGAAATCACCTTGAAAAGGAATGCTTCAATTGAGGTTAAGATTTTTTCCCACTTTTACAAATTATTTTCATTTGTTAATTTCTTCGATAAGTTAAAAGACGCAGTAAAATATAGTCAGTCAATATTAAGTTATAACAAGTAATGCAAACGCAGTGCATTAATGTGATTTAGGAAATATTTAAATTGAAATTATTACTTCTTTTAAATGAAGTATTTCGCATTTTTCGCCTGCTCCTTTCTTTTTCAAGAAATTATTAATTGCATTAACAGTGAACTGAGCAGCTTTCATAACATTTTCATCGTGAATATCGATCACGTGCCACTGTTTTTCGCAGATACAGAATTGATCCGGAATTTCCATTTCTTCACATGTCCTGTTAAACTGACGGTGAACATCAAAAGTAATTAGAAATAACTTATTTATTCTTATCCTTTGAAAATGGAAAGCACTGACTGTAACAACAATATGCTAACCTATCATATTGAATGGGTCTTAGAAGACTTCTTGCTCGGATTCCACCTCTTACCTTGCCAAGTTCTTCGCTGCAATGGTGGCAAATATTTCAAAAATTCAAAAACAAAAGCAAATTAACAATAAATTAACGCTTACGAGAACTGTTTGGAAGCCGAATCCAATGGTAATTTTTTCAATTAAATTTTATTGGAACTACTTGATAATTTTAGAATACAAACACAAGCAAACTTATATGCAAAGAAAAATCAAACGCCAGGATATCTTGAGAAGCAAATGGAACAAACCTGAAATCATGTTCATCCCAATTCTGGAAACTTTTCTTTCCTTGCATATCGTGCTATATCATAGAGTGTAGCGTAAATATCATATTGAGATGTGTGTCTTCGAGAATTGCTTTTTAAATTTAAAATAAGCTGCTCATTCGAACGCAAATATTGTGGAACTGCTACCTGAAGTAGAATGAATTTGATAAAAGCATTCGCTAAACACAAGGATTAGATGTTTTGCATAAAGATTAGGTGTACTTTGGTGACAATTTTTGAGATATAACTGTAAAATCAATATTAATCAAGACATGAAGAGATAAAAAGCATCAATTATCATTGTCATTAAATCGATTATCGTTAATGTCACCATAAGTAATGGATTATTGTCTTCGTTGTATCCAGTACCAGTCCTTCGAAATCTCCCAAACCGTAATCCATGATCACCCATTACAAATAAGAAAGAATTGTTTAAATTCTCGACATTTTTGCGAAAAAATTTAGAGAAATACTGGAAACAATGGAGCATTAAAATAGAATTCAATAAATAAAAAACTTTCAACTTGTTTTGCTTCATTCAATTACTAGTAAAATCTAATTCCAATAATAATTTTATTCAAAAAACTTTTCTAAAAAAAAAAACAGTGAAAAAAATGGCCAACTTTATCAGTTCGATACAATCCGCTGGCGGAATTATGTGCTATCCTTGATAGCCACACCAAAACAAACTTTGAAAATCCTTTGTATTCGTCTAAAAATTTATCCACAAAATCCATAATCTTGTGATAGTACTCGTGGCACTCTCCCTTATAGAAATGAGTGTTGAAATCTTTCCAAACTTCTTCGCCTGATTTAGTCGGCCGAAGTACCAAAGCACTTCAGAGAAATTGATTACAACCTTGCATTTGTCTTGAGAAAATCTTAATTATTCTTATTGATTTACTTCAAATAATTTCCTCTATTGGAAGGTAATTCAATCATACAAAACATATCTGATTGGAATTAATAACTATTTTTGCTTATACTCAAAAATGATGCTTTTTAGACACTAAAATCTAAAAGAATCAGGAGCTCCAGCGATGAAATAAACAGAAATGAACAATAACAGAGTACAAATCTTATCGATTTTCAGATTGTCAAAAAAAAAACTATCTTTACTGAACTACCTCCCGTAATGATCAGTCGGAGCTTTGGGAAAACCATGGCAATTTGGATAAGTGAACATACTCGGCCAATCTTCAGCCATTATCGATGCATAGGTTTGATTTGTAAAATCATACGTTACCGTTTCGTTTATTTTGATACCATGCTGAAATGCACTTGTCGGTTTCAGTCTATCATTATGAATAAATTAAAGTTAGAATGCTATAACCAACTACAAATTCTATTAATTGACCACTTTACAATTCGTAAAACACAGAAATCACAAAAAGATAAATGTAGTAATGATGCTTTTATTTCATTCATTTTCCAATCTACAAAAAAAAAAATCATTATTTAATATAATTATTATCCATCAACCTGCATACATCGATGTACTCCACTTACTATTTTTTAATTTTTTCTCAATCTAATCGATAAATTAATTATGATGCGGTTCACCTTACAAAACTCTGGATGCTCCGAATTATTTTTGCCTGGAAAACGATTTGCATTTAAGTCAAAGATGCGAGTTCCTGCAATAAAATGGCAAAAAAGAAATTCAATTTCAATTTCGTGAACGTTTGTACATATAACCTTATTTAATGGTAAATACAGAAATTATTTGTTAATTAATGACGTGGAAAGGGTAAAATAATCAGTGAACTAAATTTATCAAAAAAATATGATGTAAACAACGACCTGAAAAAATGCCATAAGCATTTTGTCGGCTGTTACGGCCAATTTTATTGTGATAATAAAATGTTGTTGCTTCGTAAAATTGGCGAAGAACCTCAAAATTTTAATGAATTTCAATAAATGGTTTCATAGTTTCTCCTTTCTAGATACGTTTAGCTCATTATATTTCACTGACCCAACTCTAATTTAAGCACACAAATGAAGTTAGAATGATTTTTCTACCATTTTATGCAATCGTTAGTAATAAATACTTAGAAATCTACTAGATCTACAAAATCCACTCGATAAAAATCAGTAGGGATTGTGTGTGTTTGTCAGTTAGAGAATCAATAGGGCTTATGAATTTATGAATATTGTTAATACTACTAATTGGACTTAGTGAATACAGAAATTATAGAACAATTGACATTAAATAAAAATTGGAATATACTCGAGAAATTACTTGGTTAGTCTTGGCCATCGTGCGAATTCCCGAAGAGAGTGAGGTGGAATCGAGGATAAAGATAAATACCCCAGGATGTAAGTTATCCTCTTTTTGGAATATTTTCTGTGTTGGTCGTATTACCTGAAAAAATTACTCATCGCATTTCATTAACACATTCCTGTGAAAGCTACCACGTGATATTGTCGATTTAGTTGTTTCCAATAATTAGCATTGGCAGAGTGACAAATTGGTAACTACAAATTAAAATTGACGAGACTTACTCAACCTCATACCGTATTTTTCTACGGCAGCCTAGTAAATCCGAATCAAACTTTTACGACCAACTACTATCTGGGATACAATTTGATATTATTTAATTAATATTTCGTCGTTTAGTAAAGTTTATTCCGACTAGCGTTTGCATTAGCCAACCAACTATCATCAATCAAACAAGCTGGAATTTCCGGTTAAACTTGAAAAGAACCTGAACATGAATATAACGAAACGTGGTCGTATTTCCGTCTGTACAGTGTGTTTCGATAAAATCACAACTTTCATAATATGTCACATTTTTTTCCATTTCTGTCCATTTACCGCTTATAAAATTCGTTTCGCCGTCTTTATAAAGGCATCGATACTCACATTTTGACGTCCTAAGCTGTGATTTAGTAAATGAGCAGACTTAAATTTGTGATGTTTTTGAGACATAAATACATTGTGACAAATACATTGGATTTATCTTTAGATTTCCATTCATCTCTATCTGCCTTCATGCGTGTTTTCATGTATATTTTATACTACTTTATTTTCTGTTTCGGCTAAAAGAAACTCACAAAATTCGACTAATTCATAAGGCCGAAGTTATCGATAGAATAATAAAACTATGATTCAACGTACGTGTTATCAAGCATTCGAATTGAGCCATTTTTTAATTCTGTATGCATAATACGAGTTACATTGCATTCTTTTAATGGGTCCCAGTCTGGGTACAAATAAGGTAGTATTTCAGGATTCCAAGGATCTAAGTCCATGAGACGACATTTTTTAGCATTTTGTTTTCGAAGAGTTATGCCTGCAAAGCCAAATCAAATTGACGTAATGTTTGTTTAATATTTGTAATGCAAGTATATATTGTCTTTAATTACATAACAGTACTTGAATTTTTTCATTAATTTTTAAATCTGTATGCTTCTTCAAAACTTATTTTAATTAATATGAGCTGATTTTTTTTTTTTTGAAATTTTTTCGAAAATACAAAACTAAGATGAAAATATCTGCGAGGCAAAGGTTATAATAAAAACATTACCAATTTCACGAAAAGAAGCAAATGATTGTTGTAAAATTATGTTCGAATCAGTAGCAAATAAATAGAAATTAAATAACACAAAAAATGTGCCAATGAGAAATGTAAATATGATAAGGAATTTTGTTGCTTTTAAATTCATTATATGTGCTGAAATAGTAATCATTTAATGAGACAGCAAAATTTTTACTAAATAATGAATTAAATTTCTGCGCTATATGAGATATCTAAAGCAAAAATAGCCAATGCTTGCGTCATAATTTATGTTCAGTTATATTATCAACAAATTTTTTTAAATATAAAGAAATTGAATTTTATTGTTTAGGCAATGAGTGAAATAAAAATCTTTGATAATGAGCGCTCTTTTCTCTATTCATTTATATTGCTTATGAGTGCTTATGAATCAACCTGTTTCAGTGCTCAAAATTTTTAAAAAATGATTCTAAAGACTTCCCGAAAACTGAAGGACTAGCTGAAATATTAGAAATTGATTTTATCAGAGGAGTATTGACTAAAAAAAATTGCTTTATTAATTTAGTTAATTTAGACATATGAACGAATAATTTTAATGCGCAAGCAAATTTGTTATAAACTTTAAACTTGCCTTTATTTTCGTATCAACCAACAACATTTTTTCTCCCAGAATTAAAATTGGCAAATCTTTCAGTAAATAAGTTTTTTTAATTTTATTGGAATTTTTTTTTCAAAAATTTTTTCATTTTCTAATCTTTGTTTGCAGCAATATGTTTTTAGTGCTTTCACAGAATATGTTTTATTTTTTGTGCTTTCAGAAGATGCATTTATTTTCATATATGAGTGAGAAATTTTTTCAAAATTCAAAAATGAATTTGCAAATAGCACATAAAGACTCAAACTATTGAAAAATTTTCAAAATTTTAACCATTTTTAATTTCCGTTTGGAATAATGCATTAGACAAACATTTTCAGCGACTGCATTTATTCATCTACGAGCAAAAAACATTTCCAAAATTCACAAATGAATTAGCAACTTTTCCATTATTGATATTTTTTCCTGAAATTTTTGTTATTTGACTTCGAAGAAATTAGCACGACGATTAGTATTCTTTTAAATCCATTAATTTACATATGGATAATATCCTGGAAAGTCAAATATCGCATAATCGAAAGGATTAGCATTGCCACTGTTCACTCATTGATCACAAATGAAACTTTCTTACAATTTCCGTTTTAACACGATTTTTATATCTTCTGAATTGAGACAATTAGCATATTTAACAGAAACAGTTATCACCTTCAGCTGAGCCATTATGATAAGAGAGGATTTTGGGAAATGAAGTCAATTTTTAAGATAGAAAATGGGGAAAAAAGCATATATGGCAAAATAGATATCATAGTATCATAAAACAATGAAATAATTAAGATAAGCAGTGACGGAGTGGAAAGGAATATTTAAATTTAAAATTTGAAATAAATCTTTTTTCAAGATGAGAAATTATTTAAACGAAAAACAAGAAATTGATTAAATGATCTGTAATACTGAGTATTGTAATAATTTATTTTGAAGTCACTTATATTATTTCTCCCTCACCTATCACTATATGCTTTTATGAAAACATACTTGCGCTTTTTTAGATGAGTCGCAGAATGGAATTGATTTCATATCTTACATTTGAAAGTCATATGCCAATTAATATTTAATTCAACTGCCATAGGTTTACGGAATTTTCATGTCCATCAAAATTTTTAACTTACCAACATTTTCCAGTTCTACATAGATTGTGAAATTTCAATCAAATTTAAACTAATTATATTTTACATTCTGGAATTAACAGCTCATTTTGATACACATGGCAGTCATTGTGATTCAGGGTGACAATCAAACTGAAAAATTTTCAAACGTGTATTAAAGAAGAAAATTGGTCCCGAATCGAAAAATGAAAAGTGGAAGAGATGAAAATGAAATGACGTAAGCTGAACCAATTAATAATTTAATGATTTCTTTGCAATCACACTAACTTATAAAATCGTAATATGTGTTCCAACTTTCTTTTCCCTGAAAGTTATTTATACCTCTTAAAGACGCACTATTGTCTTTCTCTCCTTGCCGGATCAATCAAACTGATTTCAACAAAATATTGTTAAATGCTATTTAGGCATGTAATCGAACCAAAAAATGAAATAAAAAATTCAATATTCTCGATACAAACATAGAATAATAAAAAAAGGATGCATGAGAAATCCAAAAATAACACAAGTTATTAAACTGCAATTAATGCTTATTTTGAGTTCATTATTCGCTCGATTTCAAAAATTCATTGGTGGTTTGCATTGATTGGCAATAAGTAACATTCTGTATATTGATCAGTAGGATGACGCGATCTTTACATTATATTAATACATTAAGTTATATATTTGTTTATCATTTTGAAAACAAAATAATTTTTTTAGAATATTACTTGGTAAGGAGATAATGTAAATACTTATTGCTCTAATCAATATTAGTTTTGTAATTTTTTTTTTTCTTAAATTGTTTTGCTAGATTTTTGAATTTTTGTTTAGAGTATTAGTGAGATTATATTAGTGTAAAGTGTTTGGTATTTAGCTTTTCCAGTGTCATTGCCAATTCAGATAAATTGGAGTGTAAAATTCCTCGCTATTTTACGTCAATAAATATATTTTTTAACTTTATAATCACATCCTGAGACACAGATCCAATTTTTTAACTGCAGCGATGGTGATGGTATAACGGTATGAGAGTTGAAATTACCGCGGCTGATGACACAATCCCAGTTAACAGGTTTAAACTGTATCCATCTCAATAATTAGCCTCAGTGATCAGAACATCCGATATCTCCAATGTTTTTGAGTATTTGAAAAGGGAACTTATAATGCTCCGTGTACAAAAAAAAAAAAAAAAAAAGATGACTGAAAAGAAGCAAGTAATTACTTTCTCTTCCTTTTTTCCTTTTTGATTGTAAATTAACGCTGATGAGAAGCAAAGATTATAGAGCGTGTCTCAAATTTAAAATAAGATTGTAAAATTTTCTTTTCCTCAGTTTTCTCCTAAGATGCCTGGAAGAGACGAGAAAGATATTCACTACTTGTTGAATAGTCTTCCGTGCGGTATTTCTATAAAGACGTTTCTTACTTCTACATTTTCTCATTTCTTTTAATCACTTTCATTTTTATTCTCTTTACAAAATAAATTGATTTAGAATGCCCTTACAACATGGAATCGCTTTCAACATGAGTTGATTTATAACATTCTCAAATCATTGATATAATTCTAAATTATAAAATGTTCTCGTTTTCTTTCTTTTTTTTTTTTTGAACTAAAATGATTTCTTTTTTAGTCCGATTCAATTTATGCAAATGTTTTAGAACGTTTAACTCTAGTTTCTAGAAAATAAGCATAATTGGCAACTTGAATGGTTTGATAATCAACCGCTTACAGTTAATTAAGACTCGTTTGACTTGAATTCTAACTTTATTACTCAAAATTTATGCCTCATTTCAGAAAGAGTATGAGGAATTCTGGCATAGTATAATTTTTTGTTGTTGTATGAGAGACTTCTTATTAGATTATGTTTTGGGTAATAAAGCAAATATTTACAATCATAATACAGTTTTGAATTAATAATCAACCTTTTCGGTCCCCATCATTTCCACTGAACTATAAACTCTAATTATTTAATTCTTTTTCGTTTATTCCTTCTTACTGCATTGCATTTGTTTGACTAGCACCGATTCGGTTAGTTTATAGTCATTCTTTCGTTTATAGCTTTATAAACTAAGAATCCATAAATCTGTTTTTAATAAATTTAACATTTATTAAAAACAATCTTCTTTTTTCATAAACTTTTATGATAATCTTCACAATAATTTTTCCTTTCTTTCTTTCATTTCCGAAATCTTCCTTGAATTTAAAATTTCACTGTGACCAGCTAATTTCTTTTCCTCTTAACCATATCAGTCAGTTACTTTTACCACGGTTTGCAATTAGCAAGTTTGATGAAAGAAATTTCTTCTGTCACCACATTAACAGGATTGTGCTCACTTAGAACAAAACGAAACGAAAATATCATTATCTTTACTTTTCTACTCGAGTCTGTACGAATCTTTGGTAGTAATCTGAATTCAATATTCAGTGCAGTGTATACTTGCAAATCGAATATAAGATTGCTGTTGCTTTCTAGACACAATTGCTTTATAATTTATAACGAAGTGAGCTGCTCAGCGAGTGTTGCTAGTAATTTTAATCAGGTATAAATGAAAACCAACAGTGTTCTTCTCCTTGAAGTGCATATATGGCAACTGAAATATGTTACACTCGTAAAATCGATAACGAAATATATTTGCATTTTCCGCCCAATTATGCTCTGAAATATGTTAAAAATTACTCTTTTATTCGAAATCAAATTTGCTTACAATGTTGAAATATTGTAAAGATTATCTAAGCTAATAGTCATTCTTTGAGAAGCTACAATATTAAAATCCATTTCTTACTATATAAAGAGCAAAGGTCATCTGATAGCCCTTACTCAATAATCATGCTCTTGTTGCAAGTCAATGCAATAAATAAAATAAAGATTTAAATCCTTTGACTTCATCAATTTTCTCAGTTTTTCTTTACCAGTAAACTACAGTTCAGTTACTCTCCCTCACTCACAATTCACTTCATTTTCCCATCAATTTATACATTTTCTTCATCTTATTCGTAGATACTTACCAGTATTGTTACTATTATTACTATATATTACAGATTAATATTTATATATTGTTGTTGCTAACGAATAAAGTCATTACAACAGACATCATTCAACGCATTCGTCTCTACTAACTACAATACGAAAGGTATTACATGAATTCATTTCCTCTCCTAAAAATAAGTATTAAATGTAGTCATAACTATGTTACACACTTTTACATATAAACTTTCATTCCTAGATATCTGAAAAATATTTATTGGGTGTTTTATACGCATCAACTGTATTTGCATACATGGACATGCTAATTTTCATAAAAGACAAATTTCAGTAACACAGACAGCAAACATTGTTACCTAGCGATACCAGATGGAAATTTAGCAAACCAGTTCAAAACCTACGGTTCGAACAATGTTTGCTAAATTTCTCATAGTTTCGTTAGGTTACTATCTCTTGTCTTGTGCTAACATGTTGGGTGTTAGTATGAAAATGCTTCATCCATGTTATACGTACGTGTGAGCGTTCTATGTTGATCGCCATCATTTCAGCAAATTTATTATTTAACTCTGCACATAATATAGTGAATGATCTATCCATCAATCTGTTTGCAGTGAATTTTCCATCTAATAAAGTAGAAAAAGCGAAAGTACTAATTAATTGTTGTGTTATTCAGAGTGCAAGCAGGTATCTTCCAGAAATGTTTAGTCAAAACTTTATTTAATAAAGAATTTAACAAAACAATTTTGGTGCTCTGCTCAGGATTGCACATTGATAATGAAGAGCACTCAGTGAGCAGTTGTATTTTACTTGTTGCTGTGATGAGATGAAATTATAAGATTAATTTACAAAATCTATTAAATTAACTGAAAAGATTAAGAATGCTAACTTTTCTGTTAAAAAATTCATATAAATAGCAGCTATTAAACAGTAATATGAGAGCCGTGTTAAAAATTAGGTTTTCTTAACAATCTCTTAGCATCTTTGTCTGTTTTTGTTGTTTTAGTAATGCATTCGAATTTATCGAATAACACTTTGTGTCATTTCCTTTCACTTAAAGTCAATTAGACTTGCATGAAATCGCAGTTTGAAAAGAAACATTGAAATGAAAAAATCTTTGCAGTGATTAAATAGCAGTAAAAAGAGGGAGAAATGTTGCTGCCTTTGAACTTTCCGTTAAATACTTAGAGTAACACAGCAATGAGTCACTGTTCAAAAGACCTTGCCGATTGTTGCCAAAAAGTTAATTTATCGGACATTTTTTTTTCCCATCTATTATCCACTGTTTGTCAAAATTTTCATCTTTTCTTTCCATCATCCAATACAATTTCCAGTTTTTTGGAACTCCTTTCAAGATTAATAATTTAAGATTCAATGCAGTTGAATTGATAGGCAACGAAAATTAAATTGCCTGCTCCGATTTAAGTAATTGTCAATGATCAATTTCAATAATCAGGCAAATTATAATCTTAAATACGAAGTCATCCGATTAAACACAAGTTAATAAATTATGTTCATATGATCCAACCTAATTTCATCTTGCATAACAAATGAAACAGAATAATATTTAGCAAGATTGAATCGAGTCAAGTATATAAAAAATTTAAGTACAAGTTACAATTTATATTGATATTTTCCAATCTTCTTTTATAATTAAAATTAAATTCCAATACAATCAAAAATACTAAAAGCAAGTAACGAGAATGAATTTAGTTAAATCACTGAAAGTAAAGCGATAATCATTTAAAAAGAAATTTATTGTCGACAGAAAACAGAGTTTAGCCGAATTTCATCATTATCCATCGTCCACTGATTTCGTAAACTGTCTATTCACTTGAATCAATCTAAATTTAACAAAACTTTAAAAACTTGGTTGAAGTGGTAGATGTAATTTTTACTAAAGTAAAGCAATTTGAGGGTCGAATAATTGTTCAAATAAAAATTTGCTAGGAAAGAAGAATAAAGAATAAGCTTTTCCAGGTATTTCGAAACTCTCTGCTTTCTTCAACAATTGTGTTTCGTATCTCCCATCACTTGATTTTAGAACGATCGAACTACTACTTTCAGCAACGGTTGTTCAACTTGATTATTTCTGCCGAAATCACCTTGAAAAGGAATGCTTCACCTTGAGGTTAAGATTTTTTATTTTTATTTATTTTCATTTGTTAATTTCTTCGATAAGTTAAAAGACGCAGTAAAATATAGTCATAATATTAAGTATAACAGTTGCAAACGCAGTGCATTAACTGTGATTTAGGAAATATTTAAGTTGAAAAGAGAACATCAATGAAATGAAGTATTTCGCATTTTCGCCTGCTCCTTTCTTTTTCAAGAAATTATTAATTGCATTAACAGTGAACTGAGCAGCTTTCATAACATTTTCATCGTGAATATTGATCACGTGCCACTGTTTGGCAGATAACCATTGATCCGGAATTTCCATTTCTTCACCTTCGTCCTTAAACTGACGGTGAACATCAAAATTAATTGAAGCCCTTGGAATGTATTCTTATCCTTTGAAAATGGAAAGCACTGCTGCCAATATTCATATCATAATGAATGGGTCTTCAAGACTTTTGCTCAAATTCCACCTCTTTTGCCAATTTTGGCATGAATGGTGGCAAATAAACATTCAAAATTCTGAAGCAAATTATATTAAATTAACGCTTACGAGAATGTTTGACTTAGAAACATGGTTTGTTTTTTGATTAAATTTTATTGAAGTCACGAAAATTTTGAATACAAACACAAGCAAACTTATATGCAAAGAAAAATAAACGCCAGGATATCTTGAGAAGAAACTTCAACAAACCTGAAATCATGTTCATCCCAATTCTGGAAACTTTTTTTCCTTGCATATCGTGCTATATCATAGAGTGTAGCGTAAATATCATATTGAGATGTGTGACTTCGAGAATTGCTTTTAAATTTAAAATAAGCTGCTCATTCGAACGCAAATATTGTGGAACTGCTACCTGAAGTAGAATGAATTTGATAAAAGCATTCGCTAAACACAAGGATTAGATGTTTTGCATAAAGATTAGAGTACTTTGGTGACAATTTTTGAGATATAACTGTAAAATCAATATTAATCAAGACATGAAGAGATAAAAAGCATCAATTATCATTGTCATTAAATCGATTATCGTTAATGTCACCATAAGTAATGGATTATTGTCTTCGTTGTATCCAGTACCAGTCCTTCGAAATCTCCCAAACCGTAATCCATGATCACCCATTACAAATAAGAAAGAATTGTTTAAATTCTCGACATTTTTCCAAAACTTTAGAGAAATACTGGAAACAATGGAGCATTAAAATAGAATTCAATAAATAAAAAACTTTCAACTTGTTTTGCTTCATTCATATTACTAGTAAAATCTAATTCCAATAATAATTTTATTCAAATTTTCTAAAAAACAGTGAAAAAATGGCCAACTTTATCAGTTCGATACAATCCGCTGGCGGAATTATGTGCTATCCTTGATAGCCACACCAAAACAAACTTTGAAAATCCTTTGTATTCGTCTAACGGATTTATCCACAAAATCCATAATCTTGTGATAGTACTCGTGGCACTCTCCATAGAAATGAGTGTTGAAATCTTTCCAAACTTCTTCGCCTGATTTAGTCGGCCGAAGTACCAAAGCACTTCAGAGAAATTGATTACAACCTTGCATTTGTCTTGAGAACCTTAATTATTCTTATTGATTTACTTCAAATAATTTCCGCAATTGGAAGGTAATTCAATCATACAAAACATATCTGATTGGAATTAATAACTATTATACTCAAAAATGATGCTTTTAGACACTAAAATCTAAAAGAATCAGGAGTTCCAGCGATGTAATAAACAGAAATGAACAATAACAGAGTACAAATCTATCGATTTTGATTGTCAAAAAAAATCTTTACTGAACTACCTCTCATAATGATCAGTCGGAGCTTTGGGAAAACCATGGCAATTTGGATAAGTGAACATACTCGGCCAATCTTCAGCCATTATCGATGCATAGGTTTGATTTGTAAAATCATACGTTCACCGTTTCGTTTATTTTGATACCATGCTGAAATGCACTTGTCGGTTTCAGTCTTGGTTATGAATAAATTAAAGTTAGAATGCTATAACCAACTACAAATTCTATTAATTGACCACTTTACAAATTAACGAATATATCTACTTTCAGTAGGTCGGTTTTTACTCTTTTTGATATTCTTTTTTTTTGAGAAACCAAAAGTCAATGTCTGAATATTCAAATGATAATTTTGTTAAACATATATGAAATTAAAAAATAAATGTAATGATTGAATTAGATAGATCCATAAGTTCTGATTAAAACTGCGTTTAGTATGTTTTACCTGTGAACCTGCTACTTCTAATTGTACTGCTCTTGAAAAAATTTTCCATTTAAGGATAATTAAGTGGCCTACTTACCTTACAGAAGTGCATGCTCAGAATTGCTTTGAAGAAAACGATTCAAATCTAAATCAAAACTGGGAGTTCCTTAAAATTGCAAAAGAAAATTGAATTCAATTTAGTCAAACGTTTATTGATAGTGCCGGTATTTTCAAAAATACAAACTTTAGTGGATTTAGCAAAATTATTCCTCCAAACTTAGTAATAAAGTGTAAAATTAGGTAATCTGTTTGCAAATTTGTTTAAAAAATTGATAAAACAAAATCCTGAAAAAATGTTGAACCACTTCCCGGCTGTTAGGTTCAATTTTATTTGAGATAAAATGTTGTTGCTTCGTAAAATTGGCACAGAACCTCAAAATTACAAAATTTACATGAAATTGTACAAATCCTTAATACTATTTGTAATCTGGTTGTTTTGGTTTCTAATAAGTTTGTAAATAAAATTAAATAATTTGCGGTTGATTGTTGCAATATGATTTAGTAATAAATACTTAGAAATCTACTAGATTTACAAAATCCACTCGATAAAAATCAGTAGGGATTGTGAAGTCTGTCAATTAGAGAATCAGTAGGGCTTATGAATTTATGAATATTGTTAATACTACTAATTGGACTTAGTAAATACAGAAATTATAGAACAATTGACATTAAATAAAAATCTTTTATGCGAGAAATTACTTGCATTAGTCTTGGCCATCGTGCGAATTCCCGAAGAGTGAGGTGGAATCGAGGATAAAGATAAATACCCCAGGATGTAAGTTATCCTCTTTTTGGAATATTTTCTGTGTTATTCGTATTACCTGAAAAAATTACTCATCGCATTTCATTAACACATTCCTGTGAAAGCTACCACGTGATATTGTCGATTTAGTTGTTTCCAATAATTAGCGTTGGCAGAGTGACAAATTGGTAACTACAAATTAAAATTGACGAGACTTACTCAACCTCATACCGTATTTTTCTACGGCAGCCTAGTCAATCCGAATCAAACTTTTCCGACCAACTACTATCTGGGATACAATTCGATATTATTTAATCAATATTTCGTCGTTTAGTAAAGTTTATTCCGACTAGCGTTTGCATTAGCCAACCAACTATCATCAATCAAACAAGCTGGAATTTCCGGTTAAACTTGAAAAGAACCTGAACATGAATATAACGAAACGTGGTCGTATTTCCGTCTGTACAGTGTGTTTCGACAAAATCACAACTTTATAATATGTCACATTTTTTGATTTCTGTCCATTTACCGCTTATAAAATTCGTTTCGCCGTCTTTTTAAAGGCATCGATACTCACATTTTGACGTCCTAAGCTGTGATTTAGTAAATGAGCAGACTTAAATTTGTGATGTTTTTCAGAGACATAAATACATTGTGACAAATACATTGGTTTAATAAAGAATTTAACATTCATCTCTATCTGCCTGCATGCGTGTTTTAATGTATATTTTATACTACTTTATTTTCTGTTTCGGCTAAAAGAAACTCACAAAATTCGACTAATTCATAAGGCCGAAGTTATCGATAGAATAATAAAACTATGATTCAACGTACGTGTTATCAAGCATTCGAATTGAGCCATTTTAAATTCTGTATGCATAATACGAGTTACATTGCATTCTTTTAATGGGTCCCAGTCTGGGTACAAATAAGGTAGTATTTCAGGATTCCAAGGATCTAAGTCCATGAGACGACATTTTTTAGCATTTTGTTTTCGAAGAGTTATGCCTGCAAAGCCAAATCAAATTGACGTAATGTTTGTTTAATATTTCTAATGCAAGTATATATTGTCTTTACTTACATAACTTACTTGAATTTGTCATTAATTTTTAAATCTGTATGCTTCTTCAAAACTTATTTTAATTAATATGAGCTGATTTTTTTTTTTTTTAACATTCTAAAATTTTTCGAAAATACAAAATTAAGATGAAAATATTGCGAGGCAAAGGTTATAATAAAAACATTACCAATTTCACGAAATGAAGCAAATGATTGTTGTAAAATTATGTTCGAATCAGTAGCAAATAAATACGAAATTAAATAACACAAAAAAGTGCCAATGAGAATTGTAAATATGATAAGGGGTTTTGTTGCTTTTAAATTCATTATATGTGCTGAAATAATAATCATTTAATGAGATAGCAGTTTGTGAATTGTCGACTACTAATGAATTAAATTTTAAATTAACAATTTAAAAAGAGCAAAGGGTCATCATTTGAATCATTCTTAAGTCAAAGAAATCATGACGCAGATTCTTGGCTATTGTTAATGAGACAAATATCAAAAAATGATTTACTTATTTCTAGTTTCGGTTTTCTCAGTATTTTCTTGCATATGAATGATTAGAACAGTAAGTGAAATAAGTAATGTTCTTCTCGTTCATCGTTCATTTCTGCTTATGAATTAAATTATTTTAGTTTCCCTGAATTGAGCGAAATGAAGACTTACTGAAAGCCCGATTGTTTGCTATTATTACTAATATTAACCATTAAATTTCGACCTCCGATGCAAAAAACTGCTTCATTAATGTAATTAATGAAGCAGTGTCATCAATTTCACGCATTCAAACTTATTATGACGTAAATTTGTCATTTGATTTTACATTCAACTAAATTTCCTGCAAATTAAAATGCATATTAAATGTGGTAAACAACTAGGAAAAACTTTTATTAATTATTCCACTCCTATTTATTAAAAATATTATTAATTGGGTAGTCGCCTTCTACGTATTTCTTGATTTATACATTCGCATGAAAGTGAACAGCAGTTTCATAAATATACATATGATCTTTTGTGACATTTTAAACAAACACTGAATACTGGACGATAGCAGTTCTCAAATTTAGCAAACCATGGTGGAATAATGTCTTACGGTTTTTCAATTCAATTCTATAAATTTTACTCATGCCTTCGTTATTTATCTCTGCAATATATTATAACATTTTGGTTGTTTAGTAAGAACACAATTGTCACAACCTCTATACTGGAATAGATTATTTCAATGTGTGGCAAGCAAATTTTTCAAATTCAAAAACAAAAATATTAACTCTGCACAACGTAATATAGTGAATGTTTCTGTTCATTGGTCTTTTTTCCTAGAAATATATATTCCAACTGTAATTCATATGCTTGAAAAAAATCTTCTAAATTCAAAAAAGGAATTATTAAATGCTTTGGAAAACAAAATTTTCCAGCCAATTTGTTTTTTTCCTTTATTTAAATACATTAGAGCTAACACAACATATTTTTGAAGTGCTAATGCTCAAAATTGCATTAATTGATATTTGAACAGAAATTATGGAACTGCTGAGAGTTGTATTTTGAAAGTTTCTGTTCTTAATCAAGATAGAAAATCATTAATTTACATGTATGCTATTCATTAACTAGCTAATCACTGTAAAATAATTTCTTTAAATATCATACCTGTTAAATAATTATCAGGTCCGTAAATGATAATTGTTTTAATCTTAGAGCCGTTTTTTGTTTTGGTTATCTTGCAATTCGAGCCTTTTCCCCAAACACAATTCATTATTGCACGAAATTAACTCGACAATGAAATGTTTCATTTCCGACATATGGTAAATTCAATTAGACTTGAATGAAATAATTTGCAAAAATTAAAAATGAAACAGTTTCCAAAAGATGAAGCATTTATTCATTACTAGTAAAATAATTTGCATATAAAAACACATTCAAATTGCAATGAACTGTTAAAAACCTTGCTAATTGTTCAAGCAACAGTCCACTTACTCTACTCTTTTATCCTTTCCCATCAATTTATTCGTTTATCCATTATCTTCATGTTATTGAGCAGATACTCTTACACAATTATTGTTTGTTATCGCCTATTGATTAACACTATTGTATATATTTATTTGTTAGAGAATGAAATATTACAAATCTTTACATTCAACGCAATTAATTGTCTCTACCATACTTTCAATAAAATTTAAGGAAGTAATAACTATTTTCTTAAGCACTCACGAAAGATCTTTTTAGAACTAAGCCAATCAGGTTATGTTCAGAAGAAATCCCAATTTTCACGACAGTACGCCTTTATCAGGTTGTAGCTTTTCAAACTCAATTAAAATTTTAGTATGTTACAAAAATTATTGAAGGTTGAAAACCAAATGTATTTTGCATTAAAATGAAATGATTCAGCCATTCGAGCATGTATTACTTTTTTTCAACAATTTCCTTGATCAGTGCTGTTAATGAATTTTACACATCATTGGTCATTCATTCCTATTACTTGTTGTTCGAGAATTGAACACTAGTTTTTACTGTTCATCATTATCCACGCAGTGATTTGGCTACCGTAAAATTATGTAATCGAATTTCATTTATGTTTTTGCAAACTGTTTGGTAATGAAACTTTATAAAGGTAACCTGTATGTTTAGTGAGATTAGATAACTCACATGTTCATTTGGAGAAATGAGATAAAAGTAGCCTGAGAACTACTGAAATAAATTAACTTTTCCAGGTATTTCGAAAATTATTTATGGCCAAGACCTTAATTGTGTTTTGCATCTCCCATCTGCTAAAAATGAATCTAAATACATATATTTAGAACGGTTGTTCC